CAGGCAAAAGCAAGCAGACAACCCAAAACCCTGGTTTAATTTGGAAAACTAGAGTGAGTACTAAAAAACTACACACCTTAACCTTAAACCGTTGGCAGCAACAGAAAATTCCAAAAGCAATTGGTGAGGTTATGCCCAGGACACCGACCAACCAAATGAAGGCTTGTAAAAGCCAAGAAGGAACCACAGCATGAACAATGGTACCATCTGCAAACTCGGCAGAGATGTTAACTCTAGAGACATTACCCAAGTCATTTATGACCTTGGAGAAATTGTCTATCTCTGTAGTTTTTGGAATAGGTGCCATGGTGGGCCCCATTGGAATCCAACCACTCATTGCATCAACAACTTGAGGGTTTTCACCCAAGGATGACTTTGTTGACCCAATTGGTGGAGGAGAAGTCACGAACGGAGTAAGGGTCACGTTCGGAATCTCAGCTGGAAGTGCAGTCGTAAGAGAAGAACCCAAGCCAGCTGATGGAACTGTCCCTGTGACTCTGGGAGACAGAGACGTCCTTGAAAAAATCCAAGGCGCCAAGGGTTCTGGTGTAGCAGTTGTAGCAGTTGTAGCAGTCTGGTGTAGCTGTTCTGGTGTAGTAGTTGTAGAAGACGGAGCAGCACTGTGCACACTGGCCTGGGGAGGATCCTCAGTGGATGTTGACACTTCCATTTTTGTTTCAGGAACCAAGAATGGAGGTTGGGAATCCAGAGAGTTTTTTAGAAGAGCCTCCACTTTAGTAACTTCTATGACTGTCTTATCTGTTTCTGGTTTTTCTGAAAAATTGACAATTCTGTTATTCTGTTCTTAAAAACCAAAAGAGGAGAAAAGGAACTAAAAGGTACTCACTTCCTTGTTTGAAGAAGCAGAAGTCCCATGGGTCAATGACTCCTTCCATACCAGCTGACCTGCCTCTGCAAAAAGTCCTTTTGAACAGCTTAACTCTCTGAAAAATTCCAAGGAACTGATTATTCTGTTCTTGTCTTCCAGAATGAAAAGAAAAAGGAAAAAACAACCAACCTTTAGGCCCTTGTAAGCCACACAAGACAAATCCAGCTTGGATCCTTGAAAGTCAATGGTGAAGTCATAGTGACCTGGTTTCTTGACATCACATGCATCAATGCACACCAGCCTCCCTCCAACTTCCTCACAGCCTCCTGCTGCATGAAGAAACATCACCTGCAAAAATTTGGAGCCACTGAAAATATGTTTGAAGAATTTTTGCGTCTTGAAACTTACCATCAAAATGACAGATGTCACTGCTATGTTGCTGAAGAATCCCATTGTCTTGCCGAATTGGTTGAATTGATGGCTGAAACTCCCTGGCAAATTACTGATCACCTCCTAACTTTCTGGGTGTTGAAAAACCAAATTCCGGGCGCCGCGTCGATCTTTTTGTTAATCGTCGTCTTGTACGACGCCGCCGTTTTTCTTTTTCCCAACGCGCAAAAACACCTACAAGGGGGTTAAAAACAGTTTAAAAACGGTTTAGGAAGTTTCACCAACAGCCTAGAGTCAATGGACACTCAGAAAACCTTTGCAAAACTCTTACCTGGAGAGATGTGAACCCTTCCAGAAAAGAGACTGAAATGAGCCAATTTGCTCTCAATCATGTCTCAGGAAGGCATAGATCAAGTTTTGGGAACTTGTTTCCATTCCAGTGTGTGACTTTTGCCACATTCCAGTTCTCAGAGACCTGGATGAACTCCCAGCATCTATGTGAATTCTTGAGCACAGGGTGCCCCACAAAA